CTTATCTAAAGAAGAATCTGTTGCTATTCAGTTCTTTCCAGATTCATAGAAACTCCATCAGGTTTTCAAGAATATCGTATCTTATGGGAGAAGACTGCTCATCTTTTTCCCACTAAGTAAATGGTGGCCTCCAACCATTAAACTTTTAGGTAGTACTGTCACATTCTACGTACTATACTCTCCAAAATCCTTACACAAAATGTCCGAATGTATGAGTCATAATAAATAATGGATAACATTGCAAACAATGATGCAAGCAATTGAACACTTAATAATAATTATATGGAACTTGTACATAGACCAAGAAAACAGTTGTTCAAGCAGAGGGAATGAATACTTGTGTGGCTTAAAATAAAAAAAGATATGTGTAAATGTTGTATCCTTTCAGCATACTTATTCACTCTATATTACCTTTTCATATATTTTAACCACAGCTTCTGTACTCAAATATTCTATACTCTCTCCTGAGATTGTTATTGTTGTCTACCATAGCATCAGAACTGACCCACAGCTAACCCACTAGCAGGTTCTCAGAGTCAGTTAATTGCATGGGAGGAGATTACATATCCTTTTCTTGTGAAGCAGCTAGTGGCCTCAACCTTTAGGATTGTAGCACAGCTTCTTGCCACGAGTCCACCAGATATGTCTATTTATTAATGTGTCATTTTCTGTTTTAGATGTTGTAAATAGAGTAATGGACTCTATTGTAGTCTTAATATCTTAATATTTAGTAGTGAACTAGATAACGTTTCAACTGTACATCATTTGCATTAGAATAAAAAGACATCGTTTGACAACATATCATGATTTATTTTTACATCATTTTATTAAACCTTTTAAAACTCCTAATTATATGTGAGAGAAATTATGGTGACTTAGTGGTAAGAAGCTGCACTGCAATCCTGAAGGCACGGGGTTGAGGCCATCAGATGCTCTATGTAAAAAGGATGGACAGTCTCCTCCCATGCAATTAACTGCCTCTGAAAACCCACCAAAGGGTCAGCTATGGGTTGGTTCTGACTCTGCACTACACAACAACAACAATTATATATGATCAACTCTAAAGAGAAGGAGGAAGAAAATTTAAATAAATATAAAGGTGGATTTTTAAAACTTCTAAATACAACAGACCTTATGATAAACTCTGTAAACAAAAATACTCCAGGAGCGGGTACCTGATTTTTTTTTTTAGAGGCTCAACTATGTAATTTATTGTTCTTAAGTCCTGGAGCAAATTCCATTTACAACTGAGTTGTTTTACAACTCGGAAGTCCTCATG